TAAATTAAGTTACTGTTAGTTATATACTTTATAACAATATGTTTTCACAAATGTTGTTCTTTTTCATAATACACAATTCACTAGTAATTTAAGTATGCATGCAGTCTTAAGCAATAAAGACGAGTATGACCTAATTTTTTTTTTTAATTTTTGCCTGTTAAATAATTAATAATCATAATTATGAATTAATACGTAAAAAATAAAGGGGAGAAGGGGGTCACCGAGGACAGGCAGGGGTTAAAAAAACAAAAAAAAATAGGTTACGTAGTATGGGAAAGTTCCCTTATGTCTATAACTAAGTACACTTTATTAAGACTTGTATGGTTTGCGGTTATATTTTGACCACCCAACTACTCCGTTATAACTAAATTTATGCACATTTATATAATAAAGACTTAAAGCTGTATAACTTTAACATTCATGTGTATTGTGTACGGAATTTGGGTCGGAAAGGGTTTTCTTTTCGTATTTAAATGAGAGGAATCTGATTTATATTTATTTGGTACCGTCTCCGGCCGTTTCCTGGCTTTTTCTCATTCCGACCGGCGGCGAAAGTGTTACTTTTACGCTCCATGAAATTTCCTTGATCCTATTCCAATGTTAGAGACATTTATTTTATTTTCTTCGTATATAATTACTAAATAAATGCTAACTGACAAATTCACATCGAATTTAAGATAAATTATTAATATATTGTCATATTTTTATAAACAACTTACTTGTGATTAGGTTTAAATATGCTTTGTTCATATGTCTAGAAATATATTTTCAAAAAGAAATTGCAAGCTTACAAACATGAATCAATTATTCTATACGTGTTAATAATTTTCTAACTTCTATTATTACAAAAGAGGTCAAGCCTATTGAAGTGAATAAAAGTGTAAAGTTAAAGGCCGGGTGTTACGAGAAAGCGCTTGTTATAGTTCAATACACAGCGTACAAGAATAGGGGTTGGTGTAGTGGGGAGGGGATATAGGGGTTTCTATTGAACACGTTTTCTTGTAAGGTAAAGAAATAATTGCACTGTGTGCAAAAGAGTTAATACTACGGTTGATGCGTTTGTGTTCTCGGAACAATGATCACTTCTTTATAATTAGAAACTTTCCTTCTATCATACTTTAGTTTCTTGTGATTAAATTATTCATTTATTTTATACTAGCTGTTACCCGTGACTCCGTTTACCCGAAATTAAAAAAAAAAACATTCTGTGCCAAACTTCATAGAGATCCGTTCAGCAGTACTGGAGATACCTTGTAACAAACATCAATTCATCCAAACTTTTGCTTTTATAGTATTAGTTAGAAGTAAGATTTTAAATGCAATTTTTAAAAACATTATTTTGTTTGATTTATTTATAACAATATTCTTACTTCATTATCTTCTATTTATGTATATTTTGTTAGCAAATTATATATTAGTTTACGAGACATGATTCGTTTCGTGGACTTGCGAAAAAAGTGAAAAAATTTGCTTAATTTCCCGCATCGTCAAGCACAATGTATTCGCGTTGCATGCACGGAGCCGGCGGCGGTATGAGCCAGTATTCAATCACTTCCTTTCTGTTGGCGAATGTTATTGACATTGGATCAATTTATCATTACAAATACAATGAAGTGTTGAAAACAATGATGACAGGTTATTAAAAATAGCTATAGCTAAGTATTTTTGTAAAGCCTTAACAGCGTATAGAGAACTGTGACTTAGTAAAATCTTCCATACATTTCTCAGACATAGTCCCTTGTTAAATGTGGATGCAATAAGTAAAGCAACTAGGATGTAAAGATTGCAATCTCGATTGACTCGAAATACAAAAACATAAATAAATTCAAATGTAATAAATTAGTTTGCAAAGGTAATTTTATTGCATTAGTTTTGTACTTGAATAATGTGGTTATCTTGTAACAGCATTTATTCGATGTGTCGACACTTATCGGAGTCATCTTATAGGTATCGATTCGACCCTGTTCGGAGTCACGAGTGCACATGGGAGATACGACACTCAATGGGCCGGCCCACTCGCGCCGTTCACAATAAACAACGCCCGATCGGCGCAATAAAGCTCGGCTGACCGGATTATCAAGATCTACTCGAATATACGATTTGGCACACTCGCTACAATCTAGACAAGTTGTTTCTACTACATTTTCTTATTATTTACTATTATTTCAAAATAATAAACCACTTGCGTAATTTTTAGCACACTTATATTGATCTTGAAAAAATTACAAGAGTTTGTTGCTATGGTTACAGATTGATTTACATAGTACTATATGATGATAAGTCTTTTTTTTTTCTTAGTTATCGATTTTTTATTGTCTTTCCTAATGACAATAGATCTTTGGTTTACTATACATCTACAGCGATAAATAAATTGGTACTGACCAGTTTCTATTGAGCATGTTTGTTCAATATATATCACTGTAGGTGTCGCAAGCGACCGCGCGGAATTAAAATAAAAACTTAATTAGTAGCCGATGTGATATTTCAGACTATATTCTACATCAGTACAAAATTTTATCAAGATCCGTTGAGCTGTTCCAGATGTAATAAACAACCATCATTCCATCTAAACTTTTGAATTTATAATATTAGTAAGACAAGATAGATATTTATGATATAGTCTTAAGTTGGCAACCTTGACCTTTGCTTAATCTAGATAAAAAGAGATATAGATGACTTTCTTTTATGAGGTATACGGTTAATGAACTGCACCCACGTCTGCTGCGGATGGCGCTCTGCCAAGCACTAGACACTAGGCACCAGAATATACCAGCGTGTTATCGTTAACGATTACATGTGTTGCCGAATAGTGAACACTCTCAGTGGAGTAAGCATCGCATAACTTACAACTTCCCCTGTCTGTTGTGCCAGAGCTAAAGCAGTTTGGATAACGTTAATCTAAAGACTTAACGTATTATGCTCGAACAGTCGAAGGTGTTTCCTAGTTTACACAGAAAAATTATTTTCGACTTGATACTGTACTATAGGTATTATATATTAGGAATTTTATTGCAGAATAGAAAAAAAATGCATGTAAAAGTATGTTGCATTACGGAGAATATTTATCAAGTAAACTTTTTGTGGTCAGTTGTTTTTTCGAAAATATCGAAGCGCCTTATTTAGAACATTGTCAGTAATTAAAAATAGGTCTTTTATAGTTTCCATGTTGGCAGCAAAAAGTATTATAAATGTTTTACTGGCAACATTGCTGCCTGAATGCCTTAGGCCATTAACTTCCGAATGCAAAACGTATATCGGAAAGTAATTATTGTCGGGCAAAATTCGACATTGTCAATGCCATATCGACGGTTAAATGACCCACCGGCTGTGAAATATTGGAATATCTACTACAAATGGTGGCATTCAGCCAAAGTTTTTAAAATATATCTTTTTTATTTCTCTTTGAAGAGACGATGTTGTTTTTCTATATATTGTTAATGCGTTGTTGATATTTATAAATTACTAGCTATCGCCCGCGACTCCTTGCGCCCTATTAAAAATAGATAGTAGCCGATTCTCAGACCTACTAAATATGCATGTAAAATTTCACAAAAATCGGTCAAGCCGTTTCGGAGGAGATATGGTAACATTGTGACACGAGAATTTTACATATAAGATAATTATTTTTTTGTAGTTATAAAATAACGTAGCGTCAGTTCGGTGACTACGTATCCTATTTTTATGATACGATCAGATTTTTCGATTAATTAATACTTACAATGAGATAAAGCTTTCAAGGACATGGTTCCCGAAGGATAGAAACTCATCATACTTATGAGTGCTATACGTATAAATGTCACAACACGGTAAAAATAATAATTTCATTGATCACACACACATGTAAAGGAGTTAATTGTATCAATTGCGTTATGTAAAAGTTTGTATGATTATATAATCATGTATGTGAATGTATGGCTGAATGCCAGCGTAGTGATGATACACACGACCTCTAGTGTAGCTCGTTGTTATCACGTAACACATAGCCCTCGCCCACGTTCGCCGCCAGGCTGTCTGAAGGCAAACTTCTTGTACCGAATAAGGAAATCTCAATCTTATTTATTGCAAATGCATGCAAAATACGAAGCCAGTTTTGCAATCCGGTTAGACGCTCTTTGCGTATCTCATTCGCTAATTTATTGACATATAAAGATGCAAATGCTTAATTTAATGTTAAGATATCGTTTATTTGTTAACTTATATTTCGAGATATTTAAAGTAGTAGAATTTTTATTTTATGTTATAGTAGATGTCGCCCGCGACGTCTTCCGCACGGAAATCAAAACAGATTTAATAAGTAGTCTATGTGTTCTGCCAGACTATGTTTTACATCTATGTTAAATTTCGGCGAGATTCATGCAGCCGTTCTCAAGATACCTTCAAACAAACATCTATCCATCCATCTAAACATTCGCTTTTATCATATTAATAACAGAACTGTTTTTTTTGTACATGCATTATATACAGTTTTGTGCTTTTAATTCTGATACAAATTGTCTTTTTTTATTTTCCGTATAAACAAGCATCTAGTTCTAGTTTTATAAAAATAAAAGTTTTTGCATCAAGGCGTACAGTAATTCTTATCAATCTCATGGCATTGACACGTGCTGGACATTGCGCGCCAGACAAATAACCAATTCTGGTTAACGACCACCCTCTCGATAGTAATCAAAACAATTAACACGACATTCTGTCCGTGTGTCGTCATGAGTATTGCTACCTATATATTCTGTCACTTCATACTGTCAACATGTCTCATTAACTGGACCATTTGTTATTGTTAAGTAAATGACGAGAAAATACGCTTGTTAAATAGCTACGACATCGGTCTATGTTAGTACTAACCATGGGTTTCTACTGTACATATGTACAAAAACATATTGACCTTCATCTTTTGTATATTTGCATGTGTGGAAACCCACGGTATTCGCTATTCTTGAATCTCTTGGCGCTATCCGTTCTCCAAATGCCTGGATGGTATTAAAATAAATGATTGTCAACAGATGCGGTCTTCACGCAGACTTTACGGAGCTGACGGCGTGTGTGGGCGGAGAACTGGACCGGCACGAAGGCTCCGCGGTACACAGGAGATACTTCTATATTACCTTGTTACGGGAACCGGTGGCTAGGTATGTAATTATAAATAAGAATGCTGCAGTAGAAAATGCTCTGTGTAGGTTGGATACTTTTTAAACAATGATTCTGATTGAAATTTGCAAGCATGTGGTAGTTCTCAGAAGGAATACAGGCTTGAAGTAACGGAGTTTTCAACATCTGTTCCATTAATGGGCTCCATAGGTGAAATACCACGACCATACATGAAGACACAATTTCATGTTTCGTCTGAGTGTACATGACTAATGCTAGTCCACTTCCCCTTCTTACTCTGGAGGTGGATTTGACAGTAGAGGGGACATATCGGAAGATGAAATATCCTCTTTCTGTCGTTTATGGTAGGCAACACACTGCAACGCAACGATTGTCTGAATGACTGTTTGTTATAGGTTAACTGATTAATGGAATAGTTAATGCAAGTTAACAAATTCTGCAGTAATATTGGTCTAGTAAATATCTGCAGTAATATTACGGAAATTGTCAGGAAATTTGATAAACGAGCTTCACAAACAGTCCTACCTGACTAACCATATGATATTAAACTTTTACCCACATAATTATTTAAGACCTGCTTCTCTTGGTACTAGGTAATGTATACATTATTTAAACTAGGTTTATGTGTATTATATTACTATTTAACTCAGACCCTGGAGATTATTCGCACGAACAATCATCCTATATTTAATGCCGGTATTTCATTAACCAATGATTAACATACCAAAAATTTATTTTCCTAACAAGATAAATTTCTCATCGGAATAAGCGCCATATGGTCTCGTTTATGAAAACATCAGTGTGGAAGTTGAGGGGCGTTGTTTATTGTTATAAGGCGTATAAGCGATGAATAAGACAGAGGATTTTGCCTCAGGTACTTGTCGGAGTATCGGCACGTGAAGCGCGGCGCCACGTGGAAAGGCTCCCGCCACTGGTGTCAAGGTCGGACAGCTACAGGTAAATATTATCTGGATGTTAACATAAACTTTACTGTTTCCAATATATCTAAGTGGTTGTTGGCAAGTTGAATAGTTAAATGTAATATGTAGGCAGTAGTGTTTAATGAGACGAGGTTATAGTGTCGGCATCCTATTCTGGGTTTGATTTAGTGACTAATAAGGTTAGTACTTAAATACTGTTAATTGTTTTAGGTGTGTTAGTGCTTTCTTTTATTAATAGACCAGCTTTTGCTTCCTACGTCGTCTGCTAGAAATTAAGAAATATAAGAAAAATACCAAAGTGTTCTTCCAGACAATGTTCTACTACTATACCAAATTTTATCCAGAACCAAGAGGCCGTACTGGTGATACCATATAACAAACATACAGCAGCGTAGTGGAGTGGTCTGTCCTCGGCGGTATTTCCAAACCGCTACGACTTAGGGTCGTTCAAGAAGCGAGCGTATCACCATCTCAAAAGGCCGGCAACGCATCTGCGGTTCTTCTGGTATTGCTGATGTCCATCGGCGTCGTTTAACACCTCGGTGTTCCCGCTGCTCGTTTGCCCCCTTGTGCTATATAAAAAAATTACATGCACGTTAAAAAACCTTGATATTTAATTAATAAAATAAAACCGTTATACGTTTGTTAAGTGTTGTTGATAGAATTAAAAGTTAATTAATTGTTGTGTCGTCGTGTTGGAGAAAGCACTTTGGTACGCACGATCACCGCTCATTCAAATTAATGCAACTACCCGCTTCATTAAATTGACTGCGAAAATGAAATCCTACACGTAACATACTAAAATGAATTCTATACAATAGACGCAACGCTCTTTTTCCCATGACAAATGTTATTGCGTTTAGATTACTTGTATAATTTCATTATACATTGTTCTGACGATGTTTGTTTCTGTTAATTACAAAGCAGTGAAACATGACTTTGTTTTGTATTAAATTATTATTTTAACTAGGTGTCGCCCGAGGCTCTGTTTGCACGGTATTAAAAAAAAACTTAATTAGTAGCCCATCTGTTATTCCAGACTATGTTCTAATTTCAGCGAGATCCATCCAGCCGTCCTGGAGATACCTTCTAACAAACATCCATCCATCTACACTTTTGCATTGTTAATATTAGTAAGATCTAGATTTTTGTCATTTTTATAACATAATAATAAAAAGCGAGGTTAGGTTTGAGATTTTCATGTATTTCATGCGAAAATTATTAATAATTTTTGACACTTATTTAGTTACAATCCATCTTTAATAAATAAAAATAATAACAAAAATATTGATGCTATATAGATGCTAGTAGTGAATACAAAAATGATTAAAAAAAAGTAATAGCAACTTTCATTGGCTTTTCACTCCGCCGTACAGCTTTTATTATTTCAAATAACAGTTCCGGATTTATCGCGACCTATTTCCTATTAACGTGCCGGGGCTAAATGAATTTTACAAATACTATTGATTTTAAACTGAACTTCTAACCCACAGAGATTCGGGTTAAAAGTTCTTATGTACGATATAACTAGGAAGAGGTTACATCAGATAATACGGTTTTGTATCAGAAGGGGGGCGAGGCGGGGATTTTTGGATTCACTCCATCGTAATACTTAAAAACTCAGCACCTAATAGAGTACTAATAGCACAAATAAAATGCTCCAATTAGGGCCGCATTTTTAGGGTAGCCGGTAAACTAAGTAACAGTTACTAAGTAAAAAATCTGATAAGATCTCAATAAGGATGAATGATTTACAAATGTATATAATCTTTAATATGTCTACTAGCATCTGAAGTGCCTCCTTGCTACACTGGAGAGTCATGGCGCGGCGTGACATTAGAAGAGTTCGCTTCATGCCCCTGGAATTTGGCCAACAACCGGCAGACGCGAATGCTGGCTGACCTGGCGCTGGTGGGCTGCTACAACGGCACACTGCGACACCGCACGGCTGATTCAGACCGAGTGCTACTCGCATCGGCTAAAAGGAACCTTGCTGCGATGTCGTACTTCGGCCTCACAGAGTTCCAAAAGGTAAGTGACGAATGGCTCGCTTAAACTGCGAATATTACGACTATAAGGTCAAGTGTAATGTGGAATTATTTACGTTCCAGAGCAAGATTTGACTATTTTTTAGCTGTCTACACCTACTGGCTAATAACGCGTTTATAACTGTTATTTTAACATGTTTTTAAGTTATTTATTTTATGATTCAGTAGTATCTTCTAGCTAATATCCTAAATAGATATGAGATTAGAGAACCGAAACAATTTAACATTGTTAACACCAAATGTTCTCGTTCTCAGCACGACATTTACACGGGCAATTAGATGGCGACGTGTTCCTTCAGTTCATAAAATGTTGCGTAAACTATATCCGAGGCCTGCAGTACAGGCAGGTACAGGCACTAACTTGTGTTGAAGTATCGGTGCAATGACCCCGGGACAGATATGTGTCGTTATTTGCACTATACATTGTATGTCACCGTTGTCATGTAAAAATCGCCAGTTTTAAATGTCACTAGAGATATTGTAGCCTTGGAAATTGTATACGCTGATCAATAATAAATAGTCACAATTTAAAATAGTTATATTGTCAATCGTAATTATTTTCTATGTTTAGTAAAAGAGAAAAGTTTCGATTTCAAGTAACATCATTTTTATTGGACGTGTTGCATTAAAATAACATCTATAAAGGTCTAGATATATTTTGAACAAATTATTAATGAAAGTTCCATTCATGCGCAATTTATACTGCCCATATTTACAGTTTTACGATGACATACATAATAACTACACATATTATCGTCCGTGTGTAATGTCGCCGCTGCCAGACGGCGCGTAGCCTCCAGCGACAACAGTTGGCTTCCCCACCGATATAATCCACAGTATATGTGCCATTAAACCGCCACACGTTGTCTCTACACAATATAAAGCATAGATAAATCTTATATGATAACTGTAAAAGGCGTTATTTTGTTTTGTTTCGT